ACCTTCATGGATTCTTGCATGGAGCCCTGAGGTCACTAGTTACGACCTATAAAACATGTACAAAAGGGTTATATTTATTTTTAAAAGTCTGTTTCTCATTGGGGAGATGTCCCTTCACTTCCTATCTGATAGCCACAAAGGAAGTGAGATGAAATTCTCTCAAAAGAGAGGGAACTCATTGGTGGTCACCGGAACTAGTGCCCCCGTTGGAAGATTTCCCCATCTATTCCTGTTCTGGTGACAGCCCAAACTTTGGGATTTTCTGTGACTTTCGCTGACATGACAAATAGAGGGGGAGAGTCTCCCCAACCAGGACACAGGTATAAAAACCTGACAGGTGTTCTAAAACCTCTCCATTCTATCCAGTCTCATTTGAGTGCTGTTGTTATGTTCTGTGACATATGTGTGGACAATATGGCAGCCAGGTTTCTCTCCAGCAGCACACCGGGGAATTTCCCTCCTTGACTGCTTTCGCTGAAACGAAACCAGCACTGTCACCGCACTGTACAGCGATAGGACAGCAAACCACGCCCCTCGCCAGACTGACCACTCCCCCAGGCCGTCCACCTCCTCGCTAGTGTCTCGAACACATCACGTGGTGTGCCCGTGACGTAGGAGGAAGAAGCCGCCATTAGAGGGAGGTGTATAGGCAACCAGAGAGACCTTGGCCTGTCATAAAGCAGCCGGTCAGCTGACCATCGTTCCGGGTGTCTGGGTAAACAGGGGCGCTTCCCGGGACTGCGTCGTACGGCCAGCGGTATAGCCTGGGCTCCGTGTTACCAGCTTGAGTGGTGCCCATGGCGGCTGGAGGAGGAGGAGGCGGAGCCGGGGGCAGCAAGACGTACTCGTTCAAGGTGGTGCTGCTCGGGGAGGGCTGTGTGGGCAAGACATCGCTGGTGCTGCGATATTGTGAGAACAAGTTCAACGACAAGCACATCACCACCCTGCAGGTGCGTGTGCGTCATGGCCTCCTGTGTGTGTGTGTGCTGGGGGAGATCGGGGGCTCATCAATGTGTATGGTCACTGTCCAGGTTGTGTCATGGTCACAGATCCTAGGAAAGTGTCATCATAGTTCAGTGTCTGGTGTACAAGCACACAGTGTACCGGCAGCTCGTCCACTCATGACTTGTTGCTCTGTTTGGAAACTCCTGTTGATCTGACTGCAACTTCATGTCAACAACTCATAGGTTACCCCGAATAGCAGACTGCCCCTTTAGTTGTGATGTTGGGTGGTGTAAGGCCTGGTTTACACTACATGGCATTTTGTTATTTTTATTTTGCATGTGTTTTTCTTGTATGTGTCTTTTTTTGCTACTCCCTTTTAATTGAGACTTGTTTCAGGTAGGGATGTTCACATACCAAGTAACGTACTTGGTACAAGTACAGATCCATTTCCAGGTCTAAAACTAGACTAGAGAAAAATGTAAAAGTTAGGAGGCAGCTGTCATTTTTAAGAAGCATATGGAGCTCCTGAGTGAGAGAGAGAGAGACTGACTGACTATACTGCAGTCCAACATAGCCCAGCCCTATGACTTGTCCAAGTACTTAGGCCTGGTTCACACTTGTACGTTTTGTAGCGCGTTCAACGCTCTACGAATACTCTACAAAACGCTCAAACATGAAAATCCCATTGTTTTCTATGGGTATGGTTCACACCTTGCCGTATTTCAGCCCGTCTGAACGCGCTACAAAAAGGCCTACGCCTGAAAAGGTACATGAGCTTCTTTGCTGTGTTTTTTGTAGCGCGTTTCCATTGGGATACAGCCAAGCGCGCATATTCGATGCGCCTAGGTGTGACCAGAGCCTTACAGATACAAGTACTGATACATTTTTGTTTAGTGTCATGTGACAGTTTTTCTAAAACCATGATTTCAGGACCGTGGTGGAGCGCCAGGGCCCATTCCCAGCTGGAACTCTGATAGTTCTTGTGAAAATGCCAAGCACTGGTATCTGAACATCCCTAGTTTTAGGAGTGAACTGTAAAATAAGAGAAATTCACTTGTGGTGATACAAAAAATTATTATTTTACCAAAATCGTATGTAACCATGTAGCAATGCTTTTCTCATTGGTCAGTGCATTTGCCTGACCAATGAGTATTTGCTAGCGAAATTCAAAAGCCATAGTGCAGGGCTATGCTGGACGGCAGTATAGATAGTACACCCCGCACCATTGGAGGGTAAGGACCGTTCAGTGAAAAGTGAGTAGAGCGGAGGCCAGATTTGAGTTGGTAATTCCATTTTCGCAGATTACCCTTTAATGTAGATACTTTATGATGTATTTTTTTTTTCTCTTGTTACTTAACTTTATTGCTATCACAAAAGGGCTAATGAGCCCATATGTGATCGCTTTAGGAAGTGACCGGTTCTCTTTATGGAGAGATGCCTCCATAATTAAACTAGCTGTCCCCCCTATTGGACTCCAATACAAAAGATTGAGCACAGCATTGTGCTTGATCTCCTCTGCTGCCTGGCTTGTGACAGCTGAGACCAGAAGGCTGGGAGTACAGCGCTCCTGTCTCGCTGATCACACAGGGCAGATCGGAGAACTCTCCCTCATGAAGTAATTTGCTGTTGTCCCGGGTCCCCCAGAAGAGCGGGGGGACCCTGAAAACCAAAGAGGGAAGCTGGCACGGGGAACAAGCAGGCTGTACTAGTGATCTGGGTGGCTGTACAGCCACCCAGATCACTTGTACAAAACAAGCGGCAGCTTCCCTGCTCCCCATTTATGCCTGCTTGCTAAATGTAGACGAAAAACACCTGCCTGGTGCATGGAACTTCATGTTCCGGGTGTCTGGCGATAGAAATTGCGCATCCCTGTGTTTCCATGTATTGCTGCGTGTAGCGGCATGAAAAAAATGCAGCATGCTGTATTTTTTTTTTTCTTTTAGACGCACCATAATCATGTAAGTTGTTCCAAATTTACACTGTTTTGTGAACATGCAGCACGCATGGTAATGTACTTGTGTAAGCCAGGCAATACCTTTTCTCTTACACCCTAAACTGCATTGCATAGAACCAGCCACATAGTAAGTAATGGGACAGTAGCATGGCACAATTATGGGGCAATGTTTTAGTTGAGATTGGGAATCTCAACTAAAGGAAATACCATTTGTTTTGCCTTGTATCTGGACCCTGCTGCCTCCTGGGATGTCTACAGCACACACTGCAAGAGGCAGTTTGCAGGATCTCACACTTGCAGATATGGCGTGGGTCTCTTGCAGATAGCTGACAGAAAGCTGCAGCTTGCCTGCATGTTTGCGGAATCGGCGCATTTTGAGTAGCACCCCCACGCACAAGCATGGCAGCACACTGCAACTCGCAATGGTGCATTGTGGCAAAAATTGTGACCTTTCTTATAATTGGAATGTTTTTGTGTGTCAGAAGCCCACTAAGTTCCATAGGCTGCCTTAATTGAATGCACATTAACAATGACCACCAATGTTAGGGTTTCCCTTTACAATGACCATTAATTTAAGGGGGGTCCCTTCTACAATCACCCCCCTGGGTGTCAAATACTCTGGGACACCACAATCCATTTTCTTTTATTGATGTTTTTCTTCAACTTGCTGATCACGTCATGTCGCATGCTGTAGGTATAATAATTGTTAGTAGGGAGTTCCCCACGACTTAAAATTTTAATTCCAGGGTTTCCTTGGGGGTGTGAAAATTGAGGGGGACTGGTTTAGATGCGGTCCTTTAATTATGAGAAGACTGGATAAGATGATTTTAATGCTGTATGGTGCTGTTTCATTTGTTGCATTCTAAAGCACCAGCTTGGGTATAGATACAAAATAAAATGATAATTCTCGTATAGTGGGAGGTCTACCAAATACACCGAACAGGGAAAAAAGAAAACTACTATCCTGTGGTCGAACTCGTTGTCACATGGTATGACTTCAATGGCAGATTTCAAATGTCACGGCGCAGAAAAATAGTTGTTTGCTTCACTGGTGAAACGATTACCCTGTGGACCCATCATTAAAATCAGAAGGCCACGTGTCAACAATAACAATTCATCTTATTTTTTTGAGTTAACTAAGTATGGTTCACAGCCACTTTACATAACAAGTCCATCTTAAAGTGAAAATGCAGGGGAAACCGGGGGTTTTTTTTTTGGTTGTTTTTACTTTTGCTGAGTCCAAATAAATTACATCTAACGCTAGTTATCCTAGGTCCAAATGGTTGCTGAATAAAGTAAGGGCTTGTTCACACTGAAAGCGTTTGCGTTCCAGAGCAGTAGCTGCTGGAACGCACCGCGATAGCAAAGAAGCTTCCCGCTGTGTTCAGTGAAGAGGGCGTGTCTGTTCATTGTATTCAATGGCATCGCTTCCTCGCGATTGGATTCGTGCCAAAACTTGCCAGCATGCCGTTCCACTGTAAACGCAAAAAATAGGGGGAAGTTTCTTAGCGATCGCGGTGCGTTCCAGCAGCTACCGCTCTGGAACGCACACGCTTTCGGTGTGAATAAGCCTTAACAGTATAGCCCTAGTTGTATAGAGTTCCTTCTATTGTACAGTGCAGGGATCATGTCATAAAGCCACCTCCTCCATTCACAAAAGGTGTTGTATTCTGTTCACAGAATATATGGTTTGCTATGATTGGACAAGGGAAGAGGTGGGGAAGGTCAACATTGTCCATTCACAGATCACCATGGAGGGAATTTATCAAAACTGGAGCAGGCAAAATCTGGAGCCGATTTGCACTGCAGCCAATCAGCTTCTCCCTCTCATTTTCAAATCTTACAACCGCCTTCCTCAGCCCTCCGGGTACGCTGAGCGTCCTGGTTGCCATGTCTGCGGCAGCCACTAGATGTTCCAGTGGACTGATCAGCAGTTCTGTCATCCTCCTAGACCACCAGGGTTCAACAATACTGGTACACAAGAGGAGCAACCATGTATCCATAATTCACACCTAAACTAAGCCACTTGCATACAAATGTAGTATTGTTTACAAGGCATTCAGGTATGTGTTCTGATGGAATTATGACAGCAGGGGGTGGTCGTTTTTTAAATTTCTCTGGTGGTCTTGTTTTTCATGATGGTCACATGTAGCATTTATTGTTGTCCAGTCCATTGGGCGTTAAGACTCATTGCCTGATGATTGGACCCTGCGCAGTTCTGAAACATGGCAATTTTTTTCACTTGTACCAAAACCATCAGTAGAGACGAGATTCTGAAGGTACAAGATGTGCGCATAACATATCTTAATAGCTGAAACCCTAGTCTCAAGGCTGGAAGATAACAGCTGACAGTAATTTGCAGTATAAATACAACTAGGATTATTACCTTACCCAGCAGCCATCCAGACCTAGTAGAACTAGCATTAGAGGTGAATTGTTTTGCCCCAGAGTTCCACTTTAATGTGGCTACTTCTAAGTGTACTGTGACCCAGATAAATTAATTTTGCAGTATATTTTTGTACAGGATGTTCACTTCTATAGCATGCGTTCACCCTAACAATTATTTTCTCCCCTTTGGTTTGTTTAAAAAGTGAAAATCCCCCCCTCCCCCCAAGTGGTTCAGTAATTTAGCAAAAGACACTGGACAGTGCTGACACCACTCAGACACACTAATTTCTGGCAGATTGTCCGGTATTTTTCTGTAGTTGAAGGGTTTATAAAGAGGTCAGACACAGGGAAATCTACATGTACTACACCTTTTTTGCCTTAACATTCACTTTAATTGTTCCCCTTCCAGAATATGGAAGGTTATAATAATAATAAATTATTTAAATCTTTCCAGTGATGTAATAAATCAGCCTGCGTATCATCCATCTGTAATATCTCCCTGCTTTGATTAGTGAAAGTATTAATGGCAGCGTATTTTTTCTATAGTTGCTAGCTGTGACAGATCACTTCCATATAGTCCATTTTATGAACGCCTATTGTAAAACATAAGGCTATTTACAGTCACTGGAGAGTGCTTTCCCTGCCTAATAGTGTGGAGATGTGGCTTGAATTTTTAATATTTTCATTCATCTCGCAGAAGGCACATTCAGTCTCCTTTTATCAAAGCATCTAAAAGAATTGTTTGCATTGCCAGTAACAGGAAACTTCGATTCACCCTCCTTCTCTTCGAACCATGTCTGGAAGAATGAACATGCAAATCTGGTCACTATGAGCAACAGAGAGGTTGTTCTTGTAAAAAGCAGAGCAAATGAGGAACAGTTGTCCTTAATAACAAGTTAGGGGTTTCATCTGTGATGAAGCAGTTCAATTAGTTATTATGGATAACTGCTCACATTCCCTTTTTGGATTTAAAAAAATAGTGTGTGCAGCCAATTTCTGAATTCTTGTCCAGTATTCGTTCTTAAAGTGACATTGTCAATAACAAAGAGAGAACTTCTAGCAGGTATAAAGTGCGGGTACCTAGATGTGCCAGCACATACACGCAGCGGCTCTCCTGGTGACAAATGTCGGCTATTCTTCACTAGCGCAGCTCCTAATCTTCTGGGTAACATTATACTTTGTCCGCTGCCTTCTGTCTTATTCACATTCCCGGCACTCTGATGAGCTGCCTACATGGTTGTCGGAAAGCTTTTTAAAATTACACTAAACAGAGCAAATGTTTCTGTACTTGGAGGGTCTTTTAAAGGGATAAAACACAGGGATATATTCATGTATTGCAGAGATGCACTGCACTTTCTTTCTTTTTTTTGCCTGAACATTCACATTAATTGTTCCCCTTCCAGAATATGGAAGGTTGTAATACTAAACATTTAAATCTTTCCAGTGATGTAAGAAATCAGCTTGCGTATCATCCATCTGTAATATCTCCCTGCTTTTGATTAGTGAAAGTATTAATGGCAGCGTATTTTTTTCTATGATAGTTGCTTGCTGTGACAGATCACTTCCATATAGTCAGTTTTATGAATGCTGATTGTAACATGTAACATATAAGGCTATCTACAGTCACTGGAGAGTGCTTTCCCTGTATAATAGTGTGTGGCTTGTATGTTGTGTTGAATTATTAATATTTTTGTAGAGGTTCATCATCTCATCGAAAGCACATTCAGTCTTTATCAAAGAATCTAAGAGAATTGTCTGCATTGCCGAAAAACAAGCAACGTTTTGCCTTGACATACCCTTTAAGTGCTTAAGTTGGAAGAACTGGCAATTGATTATGTGAGGTGAAGGCTTCATTCACACAATGTGTGATTTTTTTAGATTTCGGCATATATATTGAACATATTCCTGCTCTTAGGAGGAATTTGGGGTCTAAGTCTTACAAAACATCCCTCAGACCTGGTTCACACCTAGAGGTAGGGAAAGCTCTTTTAACTGCCCAACACAAGAAATCCCATGATTTATCAATGGCCCTGTTCACGCCTAAGCAGAACAACGCCTACCAGGAAAATGCCAGACGCCTGAAAAGATAGGAGCTTCTTTGGGCAGTTTAAAAGTGCTTTTTCTCCCCGTAGACTTCATTGGAAATGCCCAAAAACGCGCAACAGAAACATGTTGCACATTTTCATGAGCGTGTTTGTGCATTTATAGACGCGTTCTTCCATTGCCCACAATGGTTTATGAGCTGCATTAAAATGCACATCAAATGTGCACAACACGCAAATAACCGTATGCTGCTAACGCGTGTACAAACGTGCTAAAACGGTGCCTGCTAGGTGTGAACCAAGCCTCGGGAATGTATCAAAACTGGAGCAGACAAAATCTGGAGCAGCTATGCATGGCAACTAATCAGCATCCACCCTTCATTTTCAAAGCATATCTGAAGAGAGAAGCTGGCTGCAGTAGGCAACTGCTCCAGATTTTGTCTGCTCCAGCTTTGATAAATTACTGCGATAAAGCATAAGAATGTCACCACTCTGCCAAGTCCCACATGACAGTCAGTTTGGCCAGGCACCGATCATTGCTTTTCTGACACCACCTTCGAGTGCTTGTGTTCATCTATGTTGTTTTCTAACTACAGATTCACTTTATGCTGCTGTGAGACAACACATTGAGGGGTATTTATCAAAATTAATTTAAACTGAACAGAGATGCTCCGGATTTTGTCTGCTCCAGTTTTGATTAAATATCCCTCACTGCGGTTTCTGGGTGATTTGCCTTTCCTTTGACAGGCTTCCTGTTTTCAGGCGCATTGGATATTGGTCATCCTATTTCTCTAGTTACTTACAGAATGTTTCTGGTACATAGTGTAGGAAGAGGAATCACCAGCACTCAGTAGAATAATCCAACATGTCCATTTATTGGACATAGGCATCACACAATCACAAGAGCCAACATTTCGAGACCACGCATTGTCTATTCATCAGGGCATAAAGAGTGACTCACTCTTTATGCCCTGAAAAGCCAATTCCTACATTGTGTCTGCACGGTGCCATCCGTGTTCCTCACTACAAGTACCATTGTCTACATAGGCCTTGATTTGCTGCAAGGTGTGCGGAGGATTTCCCCTTCTATCCAATCTGGTACATAGTGGACACAAGAATCTATAACGTGTAGGTCAAGCCACACCTTTTTTAAATTATGTGTTAAGCTATGCAGGGCACCGGTAGAAAGATTTTACCAGAGGGAAATCTTCCAACAGCAAGACGGAAATAAAGCAAATTTTCCCCAGTCATCTTCCAGGACAGCCAATGAGATAAGGCTCCACCTGCCTGCAACAGGAAACACATCAACCACATTAAATAAAAAGACCCCTCCTTCCATCCCAATTCAGTTTTTTTGTGTTTCCTCCGGCTACACAGGGACATCATAATGTTTGGTTTTTTTAGGGCTAATTTTCTATGTGCCTCAGGGCAGAGCCTAACCCTGATATGCGTTGGGACCTACTCCAGGACTTACCTGCTGCAACGCATACAGGGATCCCTTATCGGACCCCCATCCGAGAATAGGCCAAGGTTCCCCTCCGTCATTCAGGGAGGGAAACCATCCTCCTGTGTGTGTGTGGCTCCAGACGGGGATCCCCCCAGGTGTGCAGTAGTGGCAAAGGTGTTACCTGAGCGGCGACTGGTGTACCCCTGTTTTTGGGGGGTGTTCATTTGTAGTATGGGCAGAAATCTTGCTGCGGCTCCTCCTATACAGATGTGGTTGTAATTGTAGTTTTTGGTGAACATCCTTGTAGATAAACTATGATGAAATACCATTTAGCTTTATTAGTACTAGTTGCAGTTTGTATATCGTTTTAGCCTGGTAGAAACAAACATTATTGATTTGTATCTTTGGTATACCAGTCACAAAGCAGCCCTATAATGGGCATGTTCAGTAGTCAGGAGGATGCATGCACCCAGGAGTCAGAAGTCATAAGGCATTCACAAGATGCTACATTTTCCAGTGTTTACTCAGGCATGCCACACGTATGTGTTAGAAGAGCAGTCAAACCACTGACAACCAAGGTCATTCACATGACTAATCTTCTGGGTGAGCCGTTAAAAATGAACACATGATTGGACCCATCAGGCTGATCAGAGATACCGTGAAATGTACAAAAGAAAAGATATTGCACTAACTTTTTAACAGTACAGCTTTGTAGAGAGGACTTTTTGGATTCAGTTTACTCAGGGACTCGTATCTTCATAAATGTTTTATTGAGTGCCCTCTAAAATTTTCTTGTAATTTATTGTAGAACTGTCAGTCGTTTTAAATAAAACCTCCTTTCCAGCCAAACTCTGACCGTGCTAGGTGTGAGGTAGCTGGACAACTGTGTGTGAAACTTAAGTTTCCATCACGCCAAAACTGCTCCCAGGAGTTGGGCTAATTTAAATTAGGACGGCAGGTCCCCCTCCTACTTCATTATGTTCAAATCACCCTGAAAGCTTAAGATTTACAATTTCTGGCTTCTGTCTGTGATCCCATTGGTGAGATATTCCCTTACTTCCTGTCCCTGTGACACCAGAATCAAAATGGGGCGAGAAGGGGAGTGCTATGCGTGTTGTCTGGCCAGGATCGCAGCAGCAAAAACCTTGTAAAAAGTTCTAACCCTTCCTCACTCTACTAAGTGTGTGTGTGTTTTAAGGTGAGTCAAATGAAGTATGATTCCGGTTTAGGGTTACCACCTTTACTTCAAGCGAAACCCGAACACTCTAGCGACACGCAGACACATTTTTTGGGGAGAATGAGTCGTGGCTTATTCATATGTAACAGGCACCACCCATTAATATGTAAATATCACAGTTGAGACTATTTTCAGTAAGGGGCAGTAGCCCCTATCTTAATTTTGGTTGCCCCCGCCTACCTGACATCTTGTGTCCGGGTTCCTGGTGCCATGAAACCCGGACACAGCATTCAAAACCCGAACTGTCCGGGTGAATCCTGGACAGGTGGCAACCCTATTCCGGTTGCTTCTGAGCCTTTTAAAGAGAAGCTGCACCCTTTTTTTTTTTTTTTTTTTACACCCACCTTGGTTTGCCAAAAACCTCAAATGCAGCTTGGTACCTTTCTACGCTACCCATCAGTGCATTGCAGTGTTTTACCTTTTTGTCTTTCTCCCTGGCTGTTATGCTTCACTTTGTAGGCGTGTTTACACGCTCCATAGAGATAAATGGTAGAGACAAGTTGTGTTTGCATCCACATTGAGGTGTATGGGGCCAAAAAGCAGATCGGATGCAAACAAAAGCATGCACACCCGAGCGGCTTTTATTTCCTGTATATTGTCTTGCATGTTAGCCCATGTATATCCGTGTTGAAAACGTAATCCGTTTTGTTAATACTTCTGTACATATACTGTCATTTAACTACATATTTGTCTAATTTTATACTTTTTTTTTTTTTTTTTCTTCAGGCATCTTTCCTGACAAAGAAGCTGAACATTGGAGGAAAACGAGTAAATCTTGCAATTTGGGTATGCATGTCATTTTGTTCTTGTCCAGGCTAGAACTGTGTAACACTACCTAAAGCTGAAGTTTCAGGCTCCTTTTTAGAAAAGAGTTTGGATTAAATTGAAGGAAACCTGTAATGGGAGGAAGATGGATGTTCTCATTGTTGACTTTTGATTCGGGAAATGCTAGTTGCTTTGTTCACTGACCCTCTGGTTTCAGTGCTTTGATTCACTTGCTAGCAGGGGTTTGGGACAAACCTATAATTCCACTACCAGTACTTGTGCAGTGACCGCAACAGTGGTGGGTTTTTTTTTTTTTTTGGGGTTTTTGGGGTGCACAGATGTCAGTTTTTCGGGTATGAGTACGGATATTTTTCCCCCAGTAATACTGAATAGAGATACCGGAAGTCCCATTTAAGGAAGCAGGGCAGTGTGTAATGACTCGTCGCCCCGGCTTTCTCTAATGACTCGCTGCTCGGCTTCCTGATTAACTGGCGCCAGGTGATGAGGAAGCATGGAGCTGGCTTTCTGGTCTATTAGGAAGCTGGGGGCCGGGTAATGACTCGCTGCCTGGCTTTCTGATTGGCCGGCTTCCTGAAGCCGGGCAGCAAGTCTTTACACTCCGCCCGGCTTCCTGATTGGCCAGGAAGCCGGCTCCCTTGTCACTCGGTGACGAGAGAGCATAGAGCCAGCTTTCCGACCAATTAGGAAGCCGGGCAGCTTATTACAGATCATACATCAATAGCTTATTGCTTGGCTTCAGGCAAACCGACATGCTGGTCCCGAGCCCGCAGGAGGGGCAGCGGAGGCCGGGAAACATTGCGGGGGAGAGGGCGCCACTTTACTGGCCCGTAGAATCGATCTGGCGACAGCTGAGTTGCCAGAATCGCTTCTACTGTAAAGCCGGCCACTGGCTACAAATATGAACAGAGTCAAACACCTTAAGGGCCTGTTCACATGATTTTCAGGTGCGGATCTGCAGACGCAGTGCTATGTGTTTGGCTGCGTTTTTGATGCGTTCCAGTTATTTATTTATTTTTGCCGGAGTGGGGCTGTCAGTATGTTAGCTGCAGTGCGTTTTTGACGCATTTTGCATTTCCTGACCGTTCCCTATGTGTTTTATGTAGCCCATAAAACACATAGGGATACATTGGGATGCATTTTTAGTGCAGGAGCGTACGGATCAGGTCAGCACAGAAAACAGACGTCGTGTGAACAGGCCCCAAGGACCCATGATGGAATTATCCCATCATGGGTTGTGAAGGGGTTAATATTTCATATTTATCTGAAAACTTTTTTTTTTTTCTCAGTCCTAACTACAATAAAAATATTGTCTCAATAAATCTAAAACCTGTCCATGACAACTGAATTGAAACCAAGGTGGTGTTTTTTATGAGATGGCCTGAAATATGTTAATGTATTGTAAATCCCTATAGACAAACAGTATATGCAACACACATTTTGATGAAAGTAGACCTAATCCTAATGTTGCTGACTTTTGCTGTGATTTTAGGGGGGGTGGTATGACTATCTTGCCTATATTGTCTGTTGAAATGTATTGGCTTCTGTAGTATCATTGTAAAAAAAAATATTTTTTCTGTACAGGATACTGCTGGGCAAGAGAGATTCCATGCCCTCGGTCCTATCTACTACAGAGACTCTAATGGAGCTATTTTAGTGTATGATATTACAGATGAGGACTCTTTCCAAAAGGTAAATCTGAGCACCATTGCACACCACAGTAAACTTAAGTTACTTTACTGCTTAAATACCTGTTGATCCTGCCAGTGGAACCGTTGGATAGGTAGTACCTTCCATAGGATGACAGCGCTCTTCCTCTGTAGTGAAATGTCTGCAGCATTGTCACTCTTGCTGATGTTGCAGCTGCTTGGATGCTGACAGTGTTGATGGCCCTATTGGTGAATAGCCCTACCTACCTCCACCGGCAGCTGACTGTTGTATATGCAAGAGCTCAGTCATTCCCACCCCTTCTGACACTCTCTAGCAGGGTGCAGAAGTAATCTAGCTTATAGCTGAATTTACCTTTTTAAAAAATAAGGTACGTTTCTTTAAGACATTTAACTGGACATTGTTGCCTTGAAAATGCAAGTTCATTACTTTGAGAGCAAAAAAAAAACTAAAGTTTAGGTGGTCTTTACCTGACTTAATATTTCTTGTTGTAGGTAAAAAATTGGGTGAAGGAACTAAGAAAAATGTTGGGGAATGAAATATGTTTATGTATAGTAGGTAAGTAAGTTTACATTATTTCTACTCTGATTTTACTACATATACCGTATTTTGGGCTCTATCAGGCACTCCGGTCCATAGGCCGCAGGGATTCTGTGACAGAAACTGCAGTTCAGTGACAGCTGAGACAGGTGGCGCTGTGATTACAGCACCACGGTCTCAGTAATCACACAGAGCAGACGAAGAACGAAGTTCTTTGTCTGCTCAAGGGGCCCTATGGTGAGCTCCTATGCCCTGGTCACTGTCCCCCAGAGGAGCGGGGGACCCCGAAAACCATCACAACGATCGCCGCCACTTGATTTAATACAGGTGATCTTGTCGGGAGCTCGGCTGATATGTATAAAAAATCTACTCACCCGGCGCCCGAAACTGCATGTCCCGGGCGTCTGACACATGACATGACCCAACCTCCCCAGCTCTATGCCGAGACCAAGATCCACAGGAATTGTAGAGCTGATAACAGGAAAAGGGTTTCGGCGTTTTTTTGTCTTTTTAAAAAAAGATTAGATGTGGTAGTTGGGGTTAAAATAGGCAATGTTTAATCAATTAAGGAATCCTTTCCTGAGGGAAACAGGTTGTCATTGTTAACTTCTATTTTCCAAATACTTGTTTCTTGGCTGAGATGCTGACTCGGTGGTTTGAGTCCCTCACCCAGAACATGTTTATATTTGACAAAAATTCAGGCTGTTCTGACTTTCCTCATATGCATATTTATTCTAGGTCTGTGGATCTCAATATAATAGAACCAGAGGATCATCATAATCGCAAGTCAACTAAAGCAGAAGAATCTGTATGCAAAGGACACTCTAGGAGGTTAATTCTTCATAATGTGATATTGATCACATAATAAATGTAACACACTGAACGAAGTAGAGAAATCAGCAATAGCAGCAGCCCCCATGTTTCTCTTAGGAAAGCTTCACTTTAAATCCAATTTAACATTCTTTACCATTTAAAGGTGTCGAGTACCTTCATATTCGGTTATATACCGTATCATTGCAAATTGACTGGACCTATGCATCCATTGGCTCTAAATTATTTAAGTGAAAACCAGAGGGCTGCAAAGCTCAAAAACATTTTATACTTAGATGGGGCAGTGGGGGGCTTGTTTCCCATTTTTAGGGCATGGGTCATCACACAAACCAATTATTACTACTACAAGTGAATATTCAGGAAAGACACCACTTCAAGCTGCCCCCTTTCTGAAGTATACATTTATTTCAGATTATCAGTGTATCAAAAAGTGTTTATACAATCCAAAACATATCAACCTTATCCTCTACCATCGCCACCAAATATTGAAAATCAGACCCTGTTGTCCATCAGCCCCAGCTCTGCTATCAGTCACTCTGTTTACTCTCATGTGGGTTAACTTCCTGGCTGTATGATCATGGAAAGGAATCCCAAGTATGGCCTTGTGTATATGTATACGGGGCTGTGCTAATGATACTACATGGGTGATGGGATTCCTTTTCATGATCATATAGACAGGAAGAAGGGTACTAAACGGATCAGAATCTCAGGTGGGTTGCCAGGTAGGAATTAGGGGATTGGGATGGCATGACTGGTCTGTTTTCAAATATTTTGTGGGGATGGTGGATTATAGGTTATTACATTGGAGATAATATATCTATCTAATTACTTTTTATGATATACTGATATTTTGATCTAAATAATAATTTTTAAAGGGGGTAGCTTGAAGTGGTCTCTTTCTTTAGCCTTCTCTTGTAGCAATGTATAAATCCTGACTTCAGCTTTTTTTTTTTTTTTTTTTTTTTCAGGTAACAAAGTAGATTTGGAAAAAGAGAGGCATGTCTCTGTTCAGGAAGCAGAAAGGTAGGTTTTTATTTTTGTATATGTTTTAGATGATTTCCTGATTTAAGCATTGTGAAGTAATTTTTGCTTATTTTGTTTTAAAGTTATGCAGAATCTGTGGGTGCCAAGCACTACCATACTTCAGCCAAGCAGAATAAGGGAATTGAAGAGTTATTCCTTGATCTTTGTAAAAGTAAGTACCAGTATCTGGTTGTTGGGGTCTATATCGGCCACATTACAATGAAGAAGAAACACTAAAAGGCTCAGTTCACACCTATATGTCAGAATGCGTATGTTACAAATACATGGCTCTTACCATCGCATAGTTTTTCAGTGGGTCTGGTTCATATAATTGCTGTGCAGGCGTGTCATGGAAAATAGTTCAGGTACGTTTTTTCATCCATCAATGTGCGTCAAGGGCCCATAGAAGTCAATGTGAGCTTTATGAAAATGCATTGTTAATAAGACCTGTCCCTTGCAATATGTCAGTAGTTACATAGTTAGTCAGGTTGAAAAAAGACACAAGTCCATCGAGTTCAACCTATAGAGATAAGGAGAAAAAAAAAAGAGAAGAAAAGCCTGAACAGAACGCTATGCCCACAGCTACCCTCTGTTGATCCAAAGGGAGGTTAAAAAGAAAAACCCTATAAAGCATGGTTCAATTTGCTCCAACAGGGGAAAATAATTCCTTTATGGTCCCATAAGGCAATAGGATATTCCCTTGATCAACAATCGCTGGTGCTTAATATACCTATAAGAACTCAATACCCAGTAATATTCATAGAATGCTCTCGGTCTGGCCACATTTAAACTTCCTTCATTTAACCTGGTGAATCAGCCGGTAACTGTTATTTTTCAACTTTAACTGTCCAGTAAAAGTGTCGATTAGAGGGTTGACGCAAACCATTTAACACTGACTGGGATGGTTACCCTGTTCAGTTTTCATTCAAAGGGTGCTGTCCAAGGGTTGCTCCTCCATAGAGCGGAGCCACCATAAAACTAGCCATACACTGCAGTATTTTCTTCGTTCAACCCGCGTGCTAAACGACGAAAACAACATTCCAGATTCCTCCATCAACGCTTACAAGCGTAATACATGAACAGTGACTGCAGTGAATGTTCGGCCAACAACCTTTGGCCTTCCTCTTATGACGAAAGATGTTTTGAGCATCTTTAGTCGAGCTGGTTAGGTCCACCTACTGTAGGAAATTTGGGCCATTTCCTGTGAATCAGCTGAAATTCTAACAGTGTATGGCCAGCCAGACTCCAGCATGGATACTAAGATTTTTTTTAAAAACCCCCAGCAGTTCTCCGGACATAGTATACCAAGCATTAGAGAGTATTTAGCTGAACCCAGCAAGCCTCAATCTTTTTTTTTTTTTTTCCAGGAGTATCCCTTTTAATAAGGGAACTTGATTGTTGTACGTCCGGTATATTTGTGAATGTTGTCCCTTGAATTGCTCTACGACTGAAACAAAGCTACAGTTACAAAATGTGCAGCATGAATTCCCATGAGTATAGAACACATAATCGCCCTTGTATATCCTGTTAGACTTTTGCTGGCACATTCCAAGTGCATTTTGAATAAGCCCTGCTACAAGGTTATCTAAGCTCCATTTTAGAAGTTGCAGATTTAGGTTATTACATGCATAATGGAGTAGCTGAAAAAGGATATGGTGTTATGTTTCTTGGGCTTAAAGAATTAGGACGGTTATTTTACCTATGGCAGGTGATCAGCAAACCCTTCATAGTTCAGACTGTTTTACAGTAAAATCTGATGGTGATGGTTTGCTGTAAACGGTCTAGCACCCCATTTCTGCTGCCTTTGAATAAACCTGGGTAGAAAAGCTCCTACATGGGCAAAGCACAGCTTCATTTTACAATGACTCCTCCCATCTACCAGTGCCTTTCCATAGGGATGGTTACAGAGCTGTGACAAGAGAAAGCGCTTCTAGAAAGAAAAGCCTCTAAGGGCTGGATTAGACTAGTCACATGGTAAAATGCTGCAATTAACCGTGCAGCTAGTGGCCACTGAAAAGGCAGTGGTAAGGTGCAGTGCCTTGAGTTGTTGTAAAGTAAGACTCATTTTTTTTACATTTGTTTTTTAAAAACTTTTATTTTGAGTGTTGAAACTTCTACACTTCATTCAGGTCCCCGCACAGCGGTGTGGTGAACTGCACTGTGCAAAACATGCAGCATTATTGTGTAGTGCACCACAGCTCACACCTCTGTTGTGTGAATGGGGCAGGTAGAAAACAATTGTTCTGGTGGTCAGCTGGTGTGAATGATCCAGAAATAGAAGCTTTCAATGGTG